CCTCCCAGTCGCCCCTCGCTCATGCAGAACTATCCTATCTGGCTGGAGTGACTGCAGCAGATGTAGCCAGGCCACAAACATCTGCTTCCCCCCTGTACCGCTGTCTCTCTATTCTGCTGATCAGCACTACCGATTTAAACTCCCCAAAGCTGGCTGTCCTTATTGCGGCCTTAATGTGCAGCTGGGCGACATCACAGCTAAATATGCTGCCGCAAACACATGAGGCGTGCACTGGATATCCGGGGGCAAGGTTGAAACGCTGTGTATCAAGAGGGTTCAAGGTTCAAGTGAACAAATAAACATGGCTGTTCTGAATCTCCCTTAATAGAAATACTACAAATGTCACGACACCCTATTAATAGATATAAAATAATGAATAATATTAAGGTCAAATAGTAGGTCTTTAAAAGAGCTGAACTGACATCTATAAAACAAGGCAGTGAGACATCAGTGTTGTGAGCTGATGATCTTGCTGTAAAAGCCCCATCTGGCCTCAAAGTAATTGAACATTCCAACAGGAAGCAGGATGCTTAAACTCTGAAACAAAATAGAGAGATGATGTATCCTGTTAACGAAGCCAAAGGCCTCTGCCAATAAATGACTAGGAAATACCACTACTTAGTAGGCAAGTGTGTTACCACCATCCAATAAAACATAGTCTCAAACACCCGAAATCACTGCGCCCCCCTCAAATGTGCAGCGAACCGCGAGAACAACGCACAAAAACGCAGGGATTGTTATTTGATTAAGACTGACTTTCTTGGTATAAAGTGTATTAAAGTGTTTTTTTTACAGTTCTCTGGTAATTGGCTTATGAATCTATATTAGCATATTAAGATGAGTTTGCAGCACTACGGAGGATTTATGTAATATGTGAGCTCCTGTTTTGTCTGTTATTGTGGCATTATGAACATTTGGCCACATGCTCCAAACAAACTCAGTGCAATTAGGGACATTTTTCCAGACAGTTTCAAATGATTTAATAGTTTTCAAAAATGTGCATTTGACACAGAGGACAATGCACAGAGGAAATGCATCCAATAAGCTTTCTAGACATCAACGATACACACAATGCTGAATTAAAATATATAGAGTGGGACCCTTTTAAGGGAACGGTGCATCAAAATGACCTCTTAAAAGAGGCGATGTGTAATACCCGAACAGACACGCGAGGACGTTAGAAGTGCTTTTTTCACTCGTAGCCCTCAAGGGTGTCAGCAGTTGAAATAGTTAGTAGATAGCTTTTATTATTTATGTATAAAAGAGGACTGTAAATATAGATTGAATGTTAAACGTTGCACCTTTAATGAGTCGCCTTATTAAATCAAGACTAACCATGAAGCTGTAGAGTTTAAGAAGAAGTTTTATGCAAGACAACTGAAACAATATCTATATAACAATATAAAAATAGGTGATCTGTGCATCATTTTTACAGTAGAACGAGGCATTTCTTAGACGAACTGCATAATAAGGTCTTGCTGTGTGTTTAGGGTGCAGAATGTGAGGAAAAGCTTCCCTCAGCGTATTACGGTCGGCCTGCCTTCTCAATCGCCACATCAATCTCTGTATGTACTTGGATCATTTGGCAGAACTCAATTTGCATGCTAATGCTTTGCGTGGGGGGGAAGGTCATATTATAAACAAGGTAATATATCACGTCCATACACAGTCTCTAATAGGACTAAATTAAACTTTCTTTCAAGTCCAGTATTTATCCTGTACCGTGAGAGAATATCAACAACAACTGAGAAAGTAGTAGTTTTGTTGCTTGACTGTTTTTCCATCTAGTTTTGCACTCAAAGGTTTGGAATAACTTATTTATCCACCTCAATATCTGCCATCTTTAACCATACTTTTTGCAGGCATGGAGTCCTTTTGATAGAAGGAGAGCGAGTGCAGTTGAGCGTGAAGTTCGCAGCCATCTTTCGCTGTAGTGTTAACATTTAAAAGCAGCCAGGGGAGCCGTGCTGAGCTCTTAAAAATAACCAGTTCTCATCTCGGCTGCTGACACTCCTGACCTTGGACCATTATCATTGCAACACACTCAGACAGTTTGGCATGCGCAATCGGCACGAAGCCACCACACAGCACATAGAGAGAGAAGGGCCTCAGCCAGCACGCGCACACAACGGAAACACAAACACAACATTTCTTCTGGAGAAAGAAACAAAAGCTCCGTCTCTCTCCCTTGAACTCAGTACACAGACACCTAACTTTATTAGATACACCTTGCTAGTGAAGGGTTGGACCCCCTTTTGCCTTCAGAGCTGCCTTCATTCTCTGTGGCATATTTTCAACAAGTTGCTGGAAACATTCCGCAGGGATTTTGGTCCATGTTGACATGATGGCATCACGCAGTTGACGCACGCATGTTGAGTACATCGAGTTGCAGCAAAGCGATTGGCTGATTAGCGATTTGTGTTAACAAGCATTTGAACAGGTGTACACACACACACACACACACACAACAAATGCATCACAGTGGAGGCAAACTAAAAAGCCCTCTTAAATAATGCATAATGCCTTTTACACGGAGCTTTGCAGCACTGCACTGTCCACAGCTGCTGTGCTGCAGGGAGGTATTGGGTCTGAGGTCTGGCTGGTCGCCTCACCTGCCTCTAGGCGGGAAAGCACACAGCGCTGTAATGTCATCTTGATGAAAAGATTAAACGTGATGTTGGACTCACAAATAATCTATGTTGTCAAATGCGAAAATATCAGACGGCAGTGTTTGTCAGTAATGAGATAATCTGTGTTTTGTCCACATGTAAATCAGCATGTCTTGATTCCGTGGTAACAGTAACCCAGATGGGATTATCGCACCTCTCTTCCATCAAAGTCGTCATGATATCACTCCCCATTTTAATGATATTCTACGATGTTTTCTACAGCAGCCACTCAATGTATTGATTTTCAAGAACTACCCGTCAATGCTGATGTCTTTTTATGGGAGTGGCGGGGTACGCCAATACAAACGCTGGACTCACAATTGCCTCCCTGCGCAGGAAGGATTCATGAGAAATGAAAGTTGTATCAATGTTTTTCATTGTATCTCCTCATCTTACTTCCATCGCAGAGCCACAGCATCACGGTACAAAAACGTCCCCCCATCTGGTACTTACTACTGTTGTTAGGCACAGCCAGGTAACGCTGTGTATTCATTCCCATTCGCTCCGGCATCAATTGTTCATCAAAAATGCGTGAACAAAACACCCCATTTTTGAAAGCACACCTGCAGGTACTACGGTGACAAACTATTTGTTACTTATTTCAGTATGAGGTTAGTAGACCGTACCTTCAGCAACATTTATTTATTTATTTATTTTCTATTGTTGATGTGTTTTATCCCATGATGGAATATCTTGTGCTCATCTCTGTGCACAAATTCACCTTGTTAGTCTGTAGCATGCAAACATTAACCATGACTCGGGATTAAATCTTTCAGGCTTGAAGTAAAGCTCTCTGCACTTCACAGTGTCAGCCTCTCTCCGTCGGAGCAGAGCGAAAACATATCTGGCAGCAAATACATTGGTAAAAAAGCTGTCACTTGAAATCACTCCAGAAGAAAGTAAGAATATCTTTGTCATGTAGGCTCTGAGTAGCCAACGGTCAGATCAGGGTTTATATGGCCTTCTGCAAAAGTAACTCACTCATATTTGAATGGAACTCGAGTTATATTTTTGTATGTCACCACTCTAATGCGGCTGTGATGTTCATATCAAGTTTAAGAATAAAGTAAATCAGAGATGTTCAATTGTCAAAGCTATAACTTAACCCTTACTTGGGAGTAGCTTTTTCCATAAGAAGGTTGTTACAGCACACATTCCCTGGTGGCGTCACACCCATCTGGATGTCGTTCCCACACCTCATATTACTCAAACTCGTCAACAACACACAGAGGAGCTTGTGTTCCTTCACGCTGGGCAGCAACTCATTGCCCAAGCCGACCGAACACAGTTTCTACGACAAAGTACTACGGCCTCACATTTTGAAATGGTGACGCTCATTCCAACCACCTCACACTCTGCTGCGACATTCAGGGCTGGAGATCGAGTTCCTATGAGACCCACACAAGTACATCATCAGCGAAACGCAATCCCGAGGATGCCAACCCGTACCGCATGCATGCATACATACTCTGATCCTCAGCGCCACCTAGAGATTCATGACGATAAGAAACGCACAATTGAAGCGAGTCTGACGTATCGCCACGGTTACAGACAAAGCATTTTCTATTGCGAGTAGCAAACCGGGTGTCTCTGAAGCCAAAGTCTCAGCCGTTAATGACTACCTGCCACAAGACGCCTCCCACGAGTCATGTTTTGCTGTCTGGCCAAATCACACCACATGCATGAACAACACAGCAGACCAGGAGGATCGGGAAAACGGCCACCCTGTCGTAAGCGGGTCTAAGGGGTATCTGCCCGAGCTCCTAAACGGAATCCAACTCACCCTCCACTGGGACAATGCAACTTTCTGACTTTAAATGGCCTCCACTGGAGAGATTGGAGAACATGACATAACATACCTCACACCAGCACGTACATGTACATGCAAATACAATTAAAGTCCAGAGGATATCACAATAGCATTTCCCACCAGCAGACAAAGTTCATTGAGCGTATTCTCTTAATATTTTTTTGTACAACCTGGATGCTTTTTATCCAAATAATGAGAAGTGGCCAATAAAAAAATGACTAATCTATAATGAATTCCTATGAAACTATTATATCTTTTAAGGTGATATGAGATGGTTTTCCCCTGCAGCTTTAGTGGATGTGATTTGAAGTGTCCGGAGGCTGATGGATCCAAGAAGTTAACTGAAACTTTACTATCTGAAATAACATCACGCTAAGCTGTGATCGAATCTCACGATATCACTTTGTGAACCCTTTCGCATTTTTCTTTTATCAGCCCTTCCTTCTCATTTCATTGCTGCAGGCTGGAAATCAGACCCGCCCCCCTTAACAGTACTGTGCTATAGATATACAACACGGTACCTTGTTGACCTCCAGGATTTCTCTCCTCTCCTCGGTGGCAGGGCGGCTGTGGCCAGCTGAGCGTTCCTCGTGTTTAGAGCCGTCATCCTCCATGAAGGGTATCAGTTGCTGGAATTTAGAGCAAACAAACTGAATACAAGTCTTTACAAACAGAATGTACACATCTAAGTATCATAATGGAATGACTTATGTGGCAATATGACGCTCGTCCTGGAATAAAACTAACTCCCTAATGCGCTGTTCTCCTGTTCCTCTCTGGTCACATCCCATACATGATCTCAATACACTAAACGAACAGTAATGCACATTCCTACATTTCCTGATATGCCCTCAGAGTGCAGTCACAGTTCAGAATGTTGTGCATGTGGGCAACCTCAACCTATGAGCGCTAACCCACACCAAATACATCCCTGTGCGGTCTGATAATCTTGTTGAAGTAGTGGTGAAAATGGGGATTCTGCGTAAGCTCTCGAACACAAGCTGAGCCTCGCGGTCTCTCTCCAACGTATAGAGACGGAGCAGAGAGCAAGCAGGAGATTAATTCCCTTTTAAAAGCTCTGCATGCTTGACCTTGTCTGCTTGACACTACGGCGGCGCTGCTGTGCGAGAGGACCTCCCGTTGTTTTTTTACATCACACTGCCCCCCTGTGGTCGCCTCGGGACGGCGGCGTGCAGGAGGCGAGGAATGTGTGGATGTCTTGAGAACGCGCTGTTCCTCGTAGGACGTGCAGCAAGGGTCTCATGTTGACAATGTGTGATTGATGATAATGCTTGGCGACTAACTGAATGGACACACATTGTAAATGTAGACAAATGTCTATGCTATTGTGTAGAGTTTCGAGAAAATACATAGCATCACTTATGTTGACATAAAGTCAGTTTTATACATCAAGAAATCCATAAACCGTCCTCAGATACAAAACCTCTTTGAATGGGTTTCAACTCAAAATGCAAAATAATCTGCGTCGTGTTACACTGGAAGTTCCTGTTGCAGGGAGAGAAAAAACTACTCCTCAAAAACTACCATCTCTACCATTTCCCTCTAAAAACAAAAACTGTCATACCGGACACGATCGAAAACTGGAAGCCGTGGGACAATCCACCTTGCTCCAATATTGACTATATGCAAATCTATGCCACACATAGTTCCTTAGAACATTCTGCTTTTCTACATTGTTTGACCTGTGGTTGTGTGTGGAGGAGCGGAGGCCCTGCGGACAATAAACAATGATTGGAACTAGAAAAGGCATTTCCTGCTGAAAATGCGTTGGAATGCAAAAAGCTGAAAGCTGCACTGAATATTTGAAAATAGCTGAAAATACAGAAAGTTGAAGGGAATTTGAATACATTTGCTGAAAAGATTAGAAAAGCTGAAATTAATTTGAAATTGCTGAAAATACAGAAATGGGAGAAGCTGAAAGGAATTTCAATAGATTTGCTGAAAAAGCAGAAATGAAAACAGCTGAAATAAATTTGAAATATTGCAAAAAAAGACAGAAATGAATATTAAAAAATTGCTGTTGATAGAGGCATAAGAATAGCTGAAATTATTTTAAAGAACTGCTGAAAATACAGGAAGTGGGGAAGCTGAATTTCAATAGATTTTCTAAAAACAGAAGTTGCAGGAGCTTAAATTTGTTTAAAATTGTTTGTAGTAATATTAGTAGTAGTATTAGTTATAATTGTGGTATTAGTAGTACTAGCAGTATAAGCAGTAATAGTAGGTTTAGTATCAATAGCAGTAGAAACAGCTGGAATACTATTAGCCATAGTAGTATTTGTAATAACATTAGTAGTAGTTGGAGTATTAATAGCAGTAGAAATACTAGTAGTATGGTAGTAGAAGTATCAGTTGTAGTACTAGAAGTACGAGTAATATTCGTAGTGGTTATAGTAGTATTTGAAAGGGCAATGCGTATTTCAACGAAACCGCTTCATGGTTAAGGTACAGATAATCATTGAAGCTTTTAGTTTGTAATGATGGAATTGGGTGAGGGGGGGTTGGGAAACAGAATGTTTGTTATTCAAACTAAGAAGTTTTTAATTAATAGGCCTCATCACAAACATTACAGTAAAAATTCCCTCCATGGGGCTTTTATTTTGAAATTATTGG